CGTACTGCTGTAAGTCCTACAATTCTTCAAAGGGTAGCGCATCAATGAGCAGTCCAATGTGCTTGGTGTGTGATTTTGTACACATGTTCATATTGTATATACTGAATTGATATCATCTTTCATCTGTCTGTTGATAATTCTGTTTGTGTCCGGACGACTTCCACTTGTATCATCACCCTGAGAAGGAATGTAGGCGTACTGCTGTAAGTCCTACAGTTCTTCAAGGGTAGTTTGTTGTGCCAGAATCCACAACATTTGATGTGTTGATTGTACATATGTTTGTGTTGAATAGTTGTGTGAGTTCCAATTATTGTAATTGTTGAATAGTCTTGTTTGTGTCCGGACACTCCACAACTTACAATCGTCAACCTGTGAAGGGTTGTAGGCGTACTGGTGTAAGTCCTGCAATTCTTCAAAGGAGTTCCATCAAGACATGATCCGCGAGTTTGTGTGTACTGTTTGTATATACGTGTGGTGTGTCATATCAATTGGTGATTTTGGATTCATTGTGTTTACTTGTTGTTTTCGCATCTTGTTGTTATTGCGTAATTTTGTTAAAATTTTCGTCGTGATTACTTCTGAAGTTGTTTTGAGTCTTCTACATCTGTGAACGAATTGACTGATGTTAAGGACAGCATATGGGTCGTATACACCGGGGAGGATATTGCTGAGAATGAAATGCATGCGGAGATAATTGTTAGCTGCGGTCCCACACGCCGGGGAGAAAGAGTGTAGACGACTGAGGCTCGCATACCTCACCGTTACTAGAACTGAGGCAGAATGAGTGACAAGCGATTGCAGTGATAATTGGTATTGAGTAGATAAGAGGACGCGAGAAGAGTATCATGAGGTGCTGCTTTGGTCACGTTGCTTTCTGCAAGAGTCATTCTAGCAAGTGGCGACTGTGTTGCAAGATGTCAGGACGATACCCTTAACTGGAAGGTGCAGGTCGCCATTGACGTGTGAGATTGTGCTGTGGGTAAGCTTGTGGTGTGTTGGATTTTCTGTTTGTTTTCCATTTCAGCTTTGTCCATGTGACCCAGGTTCTCGCAATGGCATCCAAGTAAACGTGTACTGGTCGTGATGGAAAAAAGGAATGGATCCCTATTTTGCCAGGGAGTGTCAATGTAGTTGAAGATGGAACGATCAATTCATGGTTGCTTGCTCAAAACCAACTTCCCCAATTTTCGCGGAGGCATCAATACACCAGTCATCGTCTCATCGGTCGCTGTTCAGAAAGAAGTCAGGAGAAAACCGTCAGAAGTAATATTGTGATTTATTATTGTAATATTTGTTCATAGATCTTAGTTTTAAAGCTTAGTTTTAAAGTTGGCGATATGTTGGTGTTACAATAAAGAATTCTCGAGTCGCCAATCGGTGTTTTGGTTTTTTCGTCCGTTATTACTAAGCGTTTCTGAGAAACTTCAAGGAACAGCGTGAGTCCCAGCGTAGCAAGAGCTGGGCATTGACGGTTTACGTGACGTGGCTGAAAAATTCTGTGGATTCTGTAGCTCGGTGAATGGGTAGGATTTCTGTTTTTATGTAGGGTCATGAATGGAATCTGTTTTAAAATCGTGATCTAGTCATGTAGTTCGCGAATAGACATCAAAAAGAAAATCAGTAGTGCGTACTTTTACAACAGGTCTTAACTGCATTTGTAAGAATTTATATTTGTAAAATCTCAGCGATACTGAAATGTGTAATTCCAACGCTTCGTTCGGCAATCTGGTCCGAACTTCTTCAGGGAAATTAATCAGAATTTACATAACAGAGGTTTATATATAAAACGAGCATCTCTTATTTTTAAAAAACGTTGTCCAATCATGATTGATAAAACAAGTATTAACAAGTATAATAAACAAAATTGTACGAGTTGTGGTCAAAATTTGACCTCAGACTTACAAATATTGATCTACCTTTTTTAAACACTTTAAACAGTGTGTGTATGTGCGGATAAACAGTTTTAAAAACAATGTCTTAATGTCTCCATAAGTAGACAGACAGTCGGGAACTTTGACCAAGTATTATTAGTTAGTGATACATATCCATTCTTATTTATTAATCAGGATTTCCTATGCGTCATCTAATATCACACCTTCTTGTCTGTTCAAACTGTTAGTATCTAGGATTTTATGATTAGACGTATTTTCAAAATTATGGTGTTTAGGATTAGAGTTTAGTTGAACCACCCTGTCAAACTTATTAATTTGTCTTCTTTCTGAAAATTGAGCTGCTTTATTCGACCTACTGGAGTTGTCAGGTGACTGTAGCTGTCCATGGCTGGAGACAGCATTTAGTACACTCGTCGACCATGCATATGGTCTGGAGTTTGATCCCCGGCCAACGCAGACCTGATATCAGTGGTTGACCTACTAGATCTGTGCTACCAATATCACATGCTGAAAATTTCATAGTTGCACCAAAGTGCGGTGTGAAATCAAGCTATGATAAAGTAAAATAAAAAAGTACAGTGAAAAAGCCAGCAACATGATGACCACTCACATAGGCTAGTGCTCAACTCCTTGAGTGATAAAAGTGTTACAATGTGTTCGTTGTAGAACTTTCCTCTGGATAGAAGACGGTACTAAAGAGTTGTCAGTCACGTGATACAAGGGAAGCTCGAACAAAAACAGCTAGTGTTCACTGGAGTAGCTATCAAATCTGATGAACTCTATTCGTCGTAGTCGCATCCCCACAGTAATCACCATTTGCTTCCCATTTCGTTCCTTCCATTGTTTTTCATTCTATTCGGTTTCTCTTTCATATCATCTCTCTCACTTTTTTACATACATTCATTCTATCCTATCTCATATTTCATGCATTTATTCTTTTTCTATAATTTTACTTCCACTTTCCGATTATCTACTCAACCTTGCAGTTTGTTTTCAACTGACGTGTAGATACAATTATTAACCCTTAAAGTTGCACATTCCCCACAAAATAAAATTCCTAATTCACACAACCACAGCAGTCGAGTGTTTAGATGTTCATGAATCCACTGTAAATTCAGAAACTCGTGTCAAAACAAATAGGCGAACGCCGGAAAATCGATGAGTTTTTACAAACCATTCATAATAATTCCGGATAATGCATCTCATTATTTAATAAAGACTCGTGTCGGAAGTAAAATACACCTAACAGACGGCACGCACCTACCGAGGTCTAAGCGATCAGTACCTCATTAGTTTGTAAGCCGCGGAAACATTCATCTGGGTCCTTGACCAGCAGCTGTAAAGCGATGTGTGTGACTACTTTAATCCACGAAGGTTTAATTGCCTGAATCCCAGGCAAAAACCTTGTGAGCATATTTCATAACTAACCCGCTGCGGTTCCAGCAATGCTGCCAAAACTAACTTGGGAAAGTCCCTATTTTCTGACGACATTCGGCCGTGTGTTCTAAAATAGTGTACAGAAGGTCTCTGTTCCAACAGTTCACCGCTTCAGAGACTGTCAAGGCAGTGACAGTCATCATTTATCCCATCTTCAGGGGTAGAGGTAGTCAAAACTCAATGACTTATATGCAAATAGCAGTACGCCTACTACCATTGCATGTGGTTCACAACAGTATCAGATGACACCTTGACAGTGGTGGCGCAATCCATGGAACACAATATGTTTTCAGAGGAGGTGTATTCAATGTAAAATATCTATCATTAGCAGTAAATGACTAGAAAACATGCTAGGATATGAATGTTCAAGTCGATAGAATTCTCCTTGACTTTGCTACAGCATCTGAAACCGTCCAGTATGGTCACCCTTAGAAAACCATTCAGTCGGTTATTGATGGCCTGCTTTATTATGGTTGGAGAAGTATCTAGACGGAAGCGAATTCTTCAACAAAGTTAATCACGTCTAACCATTTTCACACCTCGGCGCTCTGAGTTTCACAGGGCTCCATCCTGGAGCCCTAAATGTTTCTAATTTTTATTGATGGTCTTCTGCGCCGTCCAAAGTGGCCATTCCAACCGTGAGCTGATAATATAGAGGGTCAGTAAGAACTAAAATGTCCGGAAGACCCGAACAGCCCACCTGCCAGACCGGAATTTCTGAAAAACTAGGCAGTGATCAATGGTACGTGTCACAACCTGAAAAATACGAACCACTACAGCTACTCCATTGTGCACTGTAAAATGTAAGTTACTCCACGTAGCGTCAGAGCTCAACTTAGGTGTCATTTTAACGGCAAAGCTGAACATAAGTGCGGACTACACGAGTGGTGTGGCGTGGACTCATACAGCTTTACACAGATGGAGTTAGGTGCGCTCACGCCTGACCTCTTTCTAAGGCTTTGTAAAACATACGTACGAATGCACTGGAAAGCTTTAAGCGGAGGCTTAACAGTCATGCATGGGCATAAGAGCTGAGCTCAGACGGTCTTTCCCAGTAAAATTTACCCACTATCAATTGGTATTCAGCCGAACTCGTCCTTCCCCCACAGCGCATACTCCCTTGTCGTACTCTTTCAACTATTCATTTTTTAAAATCTCATATATATATTGATTTCAAGCTTCCTTATTGATCTGTTTGTAGGTCTTTCTTTTTTCTTTTTTATAAGCCTGCATAGTCTACCTTAGCTGCATTTGCTATTATTATTAACACCTCTCTTTCATATCATACCGGATGATTAACGTGTGCAAGGATCAACTCCATTCACAGCAGCGATATGGTCTTAACGTACTAAATATCACAAATCACATAACCGATTCCAGCGCCACTTCTCTCGGATTCGACCAAAGCTACGGTAGTCGGGTGACGGGACGAGCTACACAGAGTCATAAACTCTTGGAACTGACCACCAGAAGTGATTTTTGCAAACTCAACTGATTCATTCAAGAAGGGTCTGTATAACCATAGAAATTCACTAGAAAAGATTAACATAACCTCAAATGCTTCTATCCTCAACCAATAAATCTGAAATTTGAGTCTGAAAATTTGAAGTCTGATATTGGATACATTGAGTAGCGCTGCAATTACTTGTGACGTTACTTGGGTCACGCAAAATGAGCGTAGCAGTTTTCATTCAGTGTTCGGAAGCCAAGCAGGTAAAACTACTGTAGTGAAATTTATAGTTTTAGGTTTCTGAATTGAAAAAGTTTCTGAAGAGCTATGGCGCTAAAGGCTTGGACAACACGGAGTGCAAAGATAACACCTGGCCTGATGAGCTCATAAAGTGTATTAAACATCTGGACATATGTTGGAAAGATGAAACTGTTGCTGAAGCTGGTAAAATATACGTGTGAATTTATCTTTTAGATGCCAATGATGTTCTTACAAGCGTTGCCTCATTGTTCATACAACTACCGCCTACTAAACTAGTTGATGCAGTTCATCTTTTGTGTGAAAAACTACTAGATTTTACCGGTGAAAATACACGAAGACATAAGAGCAAACTTTTCCCGTATGTACTTTATTGTTGACTTCATTCTCTGTAGACTAAACCTTTTGTTTTGCGGACTTAATCCGAAGAGTCATCCTCGTTATGAGATATACCTCGCGTTAATTGAATGTGCAGAAAAATTAGGTGTTCTTAACCAAGTGATAACAGATCCAAAAAAGGTTGGTCTCTCGACTTCATAGTTCTATTTTCTTTCTAGGTCGCTTCTTGGTTAACTGAATGCAATTGTACAGTTGAAGAATACCAAAAAGTTTGGCAAAGGCTATATGATGCACACATGACATTGGGTGAAAATAGGAAGGCTATTGAAGCAATGATCTATCTTCTGTCTACATATGACGAGACCACAGCCATTCATGCAAGAAAGAATGCAATCAAGTAATTTGCTTCGCTGTATGTAAATATAACCTTACTAGATGTATCATATCTGTACTGCAAGATCCATCATTGTTGTCCCATGACCAGTTGTACACACTTAAACCTGTTCAGTATTTGGAAGGAGAACCTGTCCATGATGTACGTTGTAACATCTAAATTGTTGTAATAGTTTTAGTTTTTCAAAATATTTGTATCAGGAGATTTGAATACATTTAAAAAGTTTCTGGCAAAACATCCCAACTTTCTTAATCAGAATAACTTGAATGAAGAAGCTTGCATTCATAAACTTCGATTGCTAACACTTATGCAGTTATCAGAGAATCTTAGTGAACTTAGTTACAGTGAGGCTGCAGCTCATTTAAATCTTGAAATTGAAGAAGTGGAACCGTTTATAATTGAAGGTAAGACTTTTGCCTTTTTGTGATGCATTGATGCGTAAATTTGTTATTATCATACTTAGAAATTTTAATAATTTTTAACTCCTATGAAGTAGATCAGTTTGTACTATAGAACCATATATTTGTATAGGGTAGACAAAATGAAGAGACCTTAGATACTAGATGGTCGAAGGCAATCTATAGGAAACCATGGGTCTAGGTCTCGTACTAGTTGGCGCTCACTAGTCAGCAAGACGTATCTCCAGTCCTAAAGGGATTCATGTCCATCCTAAGGTTCGAGCCCGTGTCATTCCGTAGTGCAACCGTAGACGTGACCACTGAGTTATTCAGACTCACCACTGACCTCGTGTAGGATACTTTTTATGGATACTTCGATAGGAGACTAGGTAGTGACTAGTGTCCTCAGATACTTTATTATTATTTTTTTAAAATATTTAAATTTCATTCCTGATATTTCTGTCCTCCTAACATAAAATAGCTAGAGTTAATTCGACGTTAACCACTTCACAATGTATCGTTCTATTAAGTAACTTTGTTACGTGAACTGGTATCAATACGCGTCGTAATGTTCTACAGTAGAGATTGCATTAACAGTATGTTGATCAAACTGCATTTCGAAGTGACTCACTTTAAAGTTTATCGATATCTTATGTTTCATAGATAGCCTTAATAATAATACGGCTGACTGTTGGATGAGATATAACAGACTACTTCATTTATCTATCAATCTTGGTGATTACTGTATAAGTCTTATGTAGTTTTCGACGTAATACTTCGAAATTTTATCACTTGCTATTTCAAGATAAGTTAGTTAATGGTTAACAAGATGAAACCACCATACCTTAGCTTGGTATTTTTGTGAGATTTTCTTTCCATCTAAGAGTCATTATGCATATAATCTTATTAACGGCCTACGAATAAAGTTGGTGCTTGTTTATGTTTACCAGACTATTGGCAGATAGCTTAGACTTTTTTAAGGTGTCACTGCTATAATTACACAGTTTCGTGATGTTAGCATGTCGAAAGTCAATTACATCGTATATAAACGGCATATGTGCCTGAAACTTGAATGTATACTGTGATCTATGCTGTAGAAATTGAATTGTAAATTAGATAACTGTATGCATTGTAAGTGGGTAAAAATTCAGTGATTACTAAGCCTTAATGTACATAGTATAGTTAAAGTCACGGCTTCGAAAAAGAAAGGATAAATTTATACATACTGAGTAAATCAGAATTGGTGCTTCGGTGGCACGGCGGTAGAATGCTCACCGATCACGCATGTGGTCTGTAGTTCGATCGCCTGCTGACGCACTCATTCACCTCGCTAAGCCAGTAATAAGACTGGTAAAGATTGAAGGTTAGACATGTGAGGCTAGCAACCTCATCCCGTAAAAAGTAACCACCACTGCTACTGAAACTTTACAGCTCTAGCTTGAAGGTGCCCTATGTTCCACTGGGAACGTAAAGGAATAAACTAATAATGCTAGGTACAATGCATAGTTATCAGAAATGTTGGAAATTCATGTAGAAGACAAGAAAAGTTTGAGCAAGGAATATTCTTTTCTACAATATACTCGTTCAGATTTATAGAATATATATATATATATATATGTATATATATATATAATTTAAGAATAATCGTTATTTTAACAGGATCAATATTTTTAAATAATACCAGCGAGATGCTAACACAACGCCTTAAGAACGCAATAAAAAGAACATTCCCTGCTGAATTACGCCGTGTCTTCAAAACCACCCCTACTTTGAGTTTGGGAGTAAAAGATAAACTGCCTAATTGTGCCTCTTCCATGCGTATCTACCAATTTAACTGCTGTTGTGGAGCCAGTTACATAGGCATGTTTCTCGTTATTCCAAACATCATCCTGCGGGGTTAAGTAAAAGAGAAACAAAATCCATTCATAGTGCTATCCTACTTGATCTTCTGGATACAGAATACACGATTGATGTCAACGAGGTGGCTTTCAAAGTCATTTACGGCATGACGACAAATCTTAATTTCACCTTAAGAGTTCGTTGACTAAATATTGCTGAGGCTCGCCGTTGGGATCCACATTAAGAAGCTTAATTCATGTGTTCAAAGGAAGCTAGTTCAAACATTGTCCTTACCCTGCTGGCTATCTAGGTTCGAATGATCCTCAATTTTTTGTAGAAATTCCCTTAATTTTAATTGATATTCTGTTTCCTATTATATTATTATTATCATTATTATTATTATTATTATAATTTAAACCATGGGCCTAAGCCACGTAGGAAGGTGTAGACTTCCAGGCTGGGGTCCTCGGGACGGTAAAAATCTATGGTTGGAAACAATTGGTGACATGGCTCAAAATCGTTCTCAGTGGCGCAGATGCATCCACTCCTTGTGACTTATGATCTTCAATGAAACTGTTTTGTTCTTCGTTATTACTCCTCCTTTGTCTCACACCTCTGCTCACTGTTTCTATTATGCTTTTGTTGTACTTTCTTCACTTGCTTCGCGTGCTACACGGAGTGTGGCGACTTGAACTTCCGCACATTTGTGCAAAGTTCTATGTCGAAAACAGACAGACAGACATAATTTAAACATCTCTAATGAACTGTAATTCCATCGTTATCTTACTGTACAAATCGATATTATTTTAAAAAAACACTATAATTTGTCATTGGCTGCTATTCCGGAATATTCTATGCATATGAACATGTAGTTGTAGAGCCAGAGGAGGGGGCAATTATCGAAAAGGATATTCTTTGCTCAATTATTTTGTTTTTTCCATAGATGTCTGAATTAATATTTTCACTATATTAATATCGATTTGTTACGATGGATAAAATAATAATTCAAGAAATCATAAGCAAGTTGATCATAAGCGGAAAAAAGAATGTGATGCTCAGTTAAATATCAGATAAAATTAAGCCTTCTTCAGGTCGATAGCTTCAGTTGTATGTAAAAGATGAACATATAAGGTTGGGATTAAGATTAATTAGAATATTGTAGATGAGTTTAAAAGCTTCGTTAGCATTGATTTTGTGTTCAGTATTAACAAGATGAGGTAGCATACAGCTGCTGCTAGACCTTGTCTGTTCCTTACGTAACAATACATGATGGTAGAAAATTCAACAACAAACTTACCTAATTGGCTCCACAGGAATGTAGCGAAAATATTTATTCAGACATCTATAGAAAAACAAAATAATTGAGCGTTGGTGGCACAGTGGTTAGGACTCTCGGCGACCATGCAGATGGTCCGGGGTTCGAGCCCTCACTGACGCACACCTGATATCTATGGTCGGCCTGCAAATTTTGGGCTACCGATATCCACGCTGAAAATTCCATACTTGTACCAAAAATACGGTGTGGAATCAAGCTGTAATCGAAAAAAAAAAAAAAAAAAAAAAAAAAAAAATTTCCTCCTCCTCTGGCTCTACAATTATACATGCATGTTAATGTACATAGAATATTCTAGATTAGTAGTCAATAACAATATTGGTGTTTTTTAAATAATATCGACTTCTTAAGTAAGATCAATGGAATTACCACAGTTTATTAACATGCTTAAATAATAATAATAAAGATATAGTAGCAAATAAAATATCAACTAAAATTCCACAAAAATTCAGGATCATGCTAACCTAGATGGTCAGCGGGTTAAGGACAATGTCTTGAACCAACCAACTTCTTTTGGATACATAAATTGGGCTTCTTAATGTGGATCCCAACGACCAGCCTCAGCAATACTTAGTCAACGAACTCTTAAGGCAAAGTTAAGATTTGTTATTATGCGGTAAATAACTTTAGAAGACTAATTGTTTACATCAGTCGTGTGTTCTGTATCCACACGATGAAATAGAATAGTGCTGTGTTGAATGGATTTTCTTTCTCCTTTACTTAGGCACAGGCAATATTAGCTGGTTAATCCTTAAATCCTACACGTAAATATAGGAGTGATTAGCAGGAGGATAAAGCGAGCTTCTGTAGCATTGAATGCTTTTATTTTATACTGCATTTCTTTAACTCTGTGTTGATAAATTCACCGATGTCATCACCAAGATAGTGTAGTTTTAAGCGCAAGGTCTTTTTCAGAACTGCTGGTGGTACATTAACTTTCTGCTTTAGCTTTAAAATCATATTTTTTCTTGTCACTGAACTTCTGTGGATTAACCATTTTCACTCAGTAATTATTGTGACTACCGTGTACTGTATATATGCCTTAGATTTAATAATCATATTTAGTTTATATAGTATCTGTCTGTCTGTCTGTCTGTTTTCGACATAGAACTTTGCCCTGATATGCGACAGTTCAAGTCGCCACACTCCCTTCTTGTAGCACACAAAGCAAGAGAAGAAGGTAGAAGAAATGCATAATAGAGACAGTAAACAGAGGTGTGAGAGAAAGAAATAGAAGTAACGAAGAACAATATACAATTGGTGGATGGTGGCTAGCAGTGGAATCCAGGATGCGCATTTCGTCCTAATTGGAACTCGTCATCTGGACGTACCTGCATTTCTCAGTGAGTGATGATGTTCCCACCGTGGCTCGAACCCAGTGCCCATAGTTTCAAACGAAATGCGCATCCTGGATTCCACTGCTAGCCACCATCCACCGATTGTATACAAATCAAATCCCCAGACATCGTCGAAGCATCTGCACAAGAAGCCGACATGTCAACCTGAGACCGAGCACTTCGGTCCAATCAATCGACGGGAAAATCAAAAATTCAACTGAAGAACAATATAGTTTCATTGGAAATCATAAGTCACAAGGGCGTGGATGCATTTGCACCAGCCATCACTGAGAACAACGATTTTGAGCCAGCCATATCACCAATTGTCTCCAGACTTCATTGGGTTTTACTGTCCCGAGGACCCCAATCAGTCGGAAAGTCTAAACCTTCCTACGTGACTTAAACTAATTAAGTTTATATAGTATGCTTTATTTTTAAGTCGTATCAGTTACCATTTTTTTGCATTAGTCATTTTTCAACTTTTATTTTTTAAAACAAAAATAATAATTTAATAGCTGTACGTCAAAGAGCTGTTGCATGTAAACTTGATCAAGTTCAAAAGAAAATTCTCATCACTGGAGCTTTTCCACGTACATTTGGTCGTCCTCAATGGATTAATCTACATGATACACTAATTCAATGGAGATCTCATCTTGGTACAGTACAGTCTAGTTTAAGTATGATGGTTCAAAATAAAGTTCAATGAACTGATTGATGATTATTCAATATAATTCTCTTGTTGTGTCTTTACTTTTCTTACATATTTTTCTGAATGAGTGGTAATGATTGGTTAGAAGTGATGTTTACCTTTAGCCGATACATTAGTCAACTACAATTTAATTTGTGGATGGTGACTAGCAGTGAAATCCAGGACAATACTCATTTCATCCTATTTGGGACTCGTCAGCTAGCTGGATGTACCTGCATTCCCCAATGAGTAATGATGTTCCCACCACCGAGGCTCGAACCCAGTGCCAATAGTTTCAAACGCCAAAACGATATCCATTAGACCACTTGGGCCACGACAGCCAACCACCTCTTGTGCAACGGGTCATATTAATTTAATTTAATTCTAGATTTTCCCGTCGTTTGATTGGACCATCCAGATGACGAGTCCCACATGTGCATCCTGGATTCCACTACTAGTCACCACACACCAATTAACTTCTAATTATGTGCCCAGACATCGTTGAAGCATCTGCACAATAAGCCAACAGATATGTCAACCTGAGACCGAGCACCTCGGTCCAATCAATCGATGGGAAAATCTAAAATTGAATTAAATTAGTCAAATACGTTTGAGTAGATTAAACAGTTATATCTAGTTTCAGGTTTGGTCATATCAGTCAGAGAACCATCGACAGTCAATAGGGAGTACTTACTGGACATCTGTGTTGTCCTTGTTTGAGACTCTAGCAGTACGCACCCACCATAGTTTGAACTCAGGACTTTCCGGTTACAAGGCAATCTCGTAGACCACTCAGCCACTGGGATCCGACCCAATGGCTACCGCATGGGTTGTAACCTCTCCCAATTCGTAATTTTATCACGATCACCAGCCAATGTCATCGGCAAATGTTTGTCCTCACTCCTGACCTGGTGGCCCCCCACGACTTTTCGCTAGAACTCCAGGCAACTTCGTCCTGTAGCCAGTCACTATCGAGCATCAGGTTAATTTTTGAGAATTAGTTCGTAAGAATTTGATTTGTTTTTGAATTTTGATCACGAATTTATGTCAGTTGAAGAGCCATTAAAAGCAGAGAGTACTGGACAGCCAGGTGCTTCGTCCATGATCAAACTTGATACAAATGGTAATTGAAAGTAAAGAAAAAACCACGCTCCAAGTATTATCCTGATAGAGATATATGTATATATTTGTGTTTCACAGTGCTTAAGTTATACTTGAAATCCGTTTCGTCCTATTTCGGGACTCTTCAACAATACAAATCAGGACTACATTAAGGATCAGAACCAGGATTTTCAATTTTACGATGCGAACCTATAGGCCGTTCAGTCAAAAGGACATCGGGATTCAACGGTAGTATGCTCGCCAAGTACGCATGTGGTCTGGGTTTCATTCACGGCTGACATATTCCTAAGCTTCGCTTAACCGGTAGTGAGCTCGATAAAGAGGGAAGGTTGACTGTGGGAGACTAGCAGCCCCAATCCTTAAAATCAACATCCTTCGCACCCCGCTCTCTCACACGTACTGAAACTTCACATTGCATGCTTGCAGGCCTATTTTCCACCAGAGGACTGCAAACTGCTAATTCGGTAGACTTATATCTATTTGACCGGTGTTATCGACATGTCGTATCATCCGAAAAATCTAGACTGCCCTTTGTGCACTATAAACCAACTGCTTAGAGCAGTTCTTGTTGATTGTGATTTCGTAGTTGACAACTATCGACAAAATTAGATGGACTATTCTTTGTAGATCAAACAACCTTGAGTCGAAATAAAGGTTACTTGCGACGACCTCATTATAACGTTAGTTCCTTCTTTAGATAGAAGAGTTGATCAATTCCGTGTATGTCAAAAAACACCCTAGACATTATTCTTATTTTGAGGATTTTTTGATAGAATTCGCTAATAGTTTATGATATGATACTGTGGTTAAGTGAGGACCTGAAAGATACTCATCTGATTGGCTACTAACATCCGACTAAAGAAGAAACAAAACAAAGTGAACAGCACTGTCGTGGCATCTGGTGTACTGATCATATTATTATTATTCTTTCCTTTAATTCCTAGAGTAACATAGGGCTTCAACCGCATATCTTCATTGCGTTCGCTTCTCTGCCGACGTTTTCACCTGGTTCAGGTCTGCCCACATGCTTTCATCTCCTCTTCGCATCACCTCCCCCCCCCATGTGACCCTCGCACTGACAACCAATTCGATGCCACCTGATGGTTTTCTTAGAGTATGTCCAATTTTCCTCCATTTTTTCCTGCACGTTCCTTGCACAGTTGGTTCCTCCTGGGTTGGTTCGTTCACTCCCAGAGATCCCTGTTGCTGATCTTTTCTGGGAGGCAATCTGATCTTAAGTAGTATTGAGCAAGGACAGCTGTTGATGAAGGTCTGTAGTTTGTTCGAAGTGCTCTTCGTGCCACGCCAAGTCTGTGATCCGTATAGTAGCACTGACTGACTACACATTGGAGTTGAAAAACCGGATCTTGTTTTTCATGCTGAGTGCTGTTGATCTCCACACAGACTTGAGAGTAATGATAGCTTGCCTTGCTTTCCCGATCCTTTTATATTCCTCATCAGTTCCACCGATTGTAGTTGAAATGATGCTTCCCAGGTAGGTGGATAGGTAAAGGAGGTTGCTTCTTTCAGATTTCTCCCATTTATGCTGATTTTTGCTGTTGGCCAGGAATCTTCATCACTTTTGTTTTCTCTATTTTCACCTGATAATTGACAGGTTTAGTCTTACTTCAAAAATTGTTCAGCTTAAATTCATTTACTATCCGTTGAATTCACTACTTTCGAATATCTCACTGGTTGATCTTATTGGATGAAGGAAAGCAACAGCAATGGGTGTTAAGCACGATAAGATCATGACACCATCTTATTTTCTTTTTTCTGTTTATTGTCAACTGCATACAACTTATAAGATTTAATGTTTCATTTTTATTAAAACACAAATTTAATACGTAATGGGCACTGATAGATACACCAGGCTGGGATACTACCTGGATGTGCAAACCAAAGCAGGTGATAGTCTTACGTTGTCACTCCGACTGACTTGAATACTGAACCAAAAAGCAGTTGACCGACATCAGGAGCTTTGTTCCCATGGCCTCCTGTGACCAAACAGGTTCATACACCATTTGATTCGTTCGGATTCCGGAACCCGTGCTACACATCGTAGGTTGGTAATCAGGATTTTCCAGCCCTTTAAGGGAGTAGACTATCAGATCCACAAGTGTTTTTGATGTGGTTTTGTTCTCTGAGCTGGATGGTTAGTTTGCGAAGCTTTCATCACCTTACTGGGTGACATCTTCAGCGCATACTTCAATTTGAAGTGAGCTTTTAGATTTCTCCACGAGTTTATTAATCATCTCTCCTGGTGACCTTGGACGTGATTGGTTGTTTGTGTGTGTTTTCACACCTTCTAGGTTACTTGTATTGGAACCGGTTGTTTCTTTGACTTGAATTTTGACCCTTTGTCTGTGAAGTTTCTTTCTTATTGGTTGATAAATTTTGTCTATGTCGATGTGTCTATTGATTGATGATCCACTGGAATGCCAAGCTTCTAAAAATTCTCTAGCATTCTTGTTATTTCCTTTGTCTAATATTTGAACGTTGTCCCAGTCGAATTGATGTCCGTAGTTGTCTGTGTGTAGTGAAATGAGGGAGTGGATATCATGTCTTTTGACGGCTAGCTTATGTTCGTGGATACGAAGACGAAGGGGACGTCCACTTTGGCCGATGTAGTGTTTTTCGCAGTTGTTACAGTTTATTTTGTAGATGATGTTGGTTTTGTCTTCTTTCGCTGTTGAGTCTTTTGGTTGACATAGAATTGAGTGAAGCGACTTTGTTGGTTTGTGTACGACGTCAACTCCTAAAGGTTTGAAGAGTCTTGTAGTGATTTCTGAGATATCTTTTATATATGGTAAGGCAATTTTCTTTGTGTTCTCCTTGGTGGCTTTTGCTTTGGTAGGTTGGCTTGGGGGTATATGTCTCTTGATGAAATTCCGTGGATATCCATTCTTTTGGAAGACGTCCATGAGATACTTTTCTTCAATTTTTCTTAAGGTGGGAGTGCTAGCCGTCAAAAGACATGATATCCACTCCCTCATTTCACTACACACAGACAACTACGGACATCAATTCGACTGGGACAACGTTCAAATATTAGACAAAGGAAATAACAAGAATGCTAGAGAATTTTTAGAAGCTTGGCATTCCAGTGGATCATCAATCAATAGACACATCGACATAGACAAAATTTATCAACCAATAAGAAAGAAACTTCACAGACAAAGGGTCAAAATTCAAGTCAAAGAAACAACCGGTTCCAATACAAGTAACCTAGAAGGTGTGAAAACACACACAAACAACCAATCACGTCCAAGGTCACCAGGAGAGATGATTAATAAACTCGTGGAGAAATCTAAAAGCTCACTTCAAATTGAAGTATGCGCTGAAGATGTCACCCAGTAAGGTGATGAAAGCTTCGCAAACTAACCATCCAGCTCAGAGAACAAAACCACATCAAAATCATCCACCTGAGCTACAAATCTTCTCTATAAGGTCCACAAGTGTGTTTGTAAGCGACAGACGTCCTCATCCAGCCTTTCGCTTCTATGTGAGGAGCATCCGTGTCACATGAAGGTAGTAAATAAAACTTACCTGGCTGTAGACGTGTGTCCACTTCATGAGAGCATTTCCAGAGGAAGATCGAAGCTTACCCACCATCTATCGTGTCCGGTCATTTATGTGGGCACACCATTTAAAAAAGTATGTGTATAGAGAAATTCACGTAAGTGTGGAACTTGACCAATGTGGTAAAATGTTAATTCCTCATTAGATAAGTTTATTTTAATAATCACACAGTAATGATGCAGTATTAACAAATGGATGACATAAGGTTTCGAGCAGAAATTATTGCCAATCATAATCATATCAATTTAGTCACATGGTTTCACACTTTGTCTTATATTGTTTTTTCTCTATTGCTGTCTCTTCAACTTCCCCCT